AGTTATCACTCCCTTAAGCTACTCTCCAATACACCTTAATATCAAAATACATGTGACAGTCAATTTATTTAATGTCAGTTTAAATTATCTCATTGTTCACTAGAGCACACCAACTGTTTAATACCTAAATAAATAAAATAGTGACTTTACATTTTATAGGCTCAACAATTCATAGTTGTTATAATTGTTTTCTAATAAATTACTGAGTTACAAAAAATGCTGAATTTATTTGTTTAATTTATTAATTTCTACATATATTCATAAACATATTTTTGTTAAAGAAAAACTTACTTTAAAAAAACTGCCATATTTTACTGTGGACCTTCTCTGCATATGAAAGTGTTCACACCGAAGACGGTTTACCTCCTGAAGTCCAAATGTATATAAAAAAAACACTTCAGTCAAGTCAACCTGCAGCCTCAAAAGAAACTGCATGCCAAGCATTTCAGTGGCTGTAAGATTCTCATATTTCTTTGGAGAAAACCCACCTATAAATAAAACAGCCGAGTTATTGCTCAACCTGGACTGCTGAACTGAATCATTTTCTTCATATTTAAGCAGGGCAGCATAGTGTATAAGGCTTTATTTAAAATTGATATTATTTTTAGTTCCACATAATGGGAAACCCAAATTGCTTTATCAGCACTGCTTGCTTTCTAAAACATGTTAATTTATAGGGTAGAGTGGTCTGAAAACTGGACCTCCGCTGGAATTGTCCATGGGGTAAATACTGGATTTAATTTTACTAAATGACCCCAAATATCTAAAATGCATAAACAGAAATCCTACAGGAAGGGTGGACTGCCACTTCTTAACTTGAACTTGAATCAATGGATAGCTAATATGTGCTCCTGGAACTAATGGTCATAATTCATGGAGAATATAAGTGATAGATTTGATGTAAAATAATGTTTTTCCATTGAAAAACAGGATTCACATGAGTTCTAATAGACATAGGGATAGTTGCTTACATGAAGATATGACAAGCTTTTAAAATGTTACAGATTTGAAACCCTCAGAATTGTTCAACATATCAGACCTTTAGAATAAGATCCATTGAATAAGATATGAGAGAAAGTACCAATGAAAATAGTTTTATTTGGGTGTATAGAGCAGAGAGGATGGCATATTTCCATGCAAGAAAGGGAAATGTTTTTTTTGGAAACACTGGTTATCCAAAGCATATAATCTGATACTATAAACTAATAAAAAATAAATAAAT